TATATATATATATATATATAAGAATGGTTCCTTTTACTATCAAAAGCATTTTGGCTGAGCATTGCAGATCCTCAGCAATTTTCAAATTGCCTGGTTTACGTAATTCCTTTATCACCAGTGGGCCTTTGCAGAAGGAAAAAGTTTATAATTGAGTAGTAAACCTTACTAAGTGACAATCACAAGATACAATACATTTTTAAAAAGCCAAGTGTCAGACTTCTGAATTGAAAACATACAACTGAAAATATAAATTCCAAAACAAAAAGTAGATTAAAACATTACTGTAATTAAATGAGTTACACATTGGTACAGTAATGCATCTTTGTACAAAAGGTAATAAATTGTAACTTTTTCTACTTAGGGAAGGTGATTTTTAAAATCAATCATCTCTCTTAGTTCCTTTTCTTTTTTCCATACTTTATTACAGATTCAGGAAAGAACATCAGTCCAATATATTTTCATCTTTATGTTATGTTTGCTCCATTCAAGAGAGAGCAAAAGCCCAGTCCACAAGCACATTTGCACTAAATATACCCATTTTGAAAACTAATTTGTGCATTAAACCAGTGCAACTTCCCCTTTCCTCTTCCTATCTATTCCCAGTTACATTTCTTTAAACTGGGCATTTCCACTGCCTTCTCATGTTGGTCTTTCACAAGAACATGAGCCACCCAGGGTGATCTGGATCCGTCTGTAGGGTTTTACACAGTCATTTGTAGGGCCCCTGCTTTAGAAATGTACTCCATTATCAGGTTTAAGCAACACTCAGCTTTTTCCCTTCCTTGCTTTATTCTTCCTTCTTTGCTGCCATTGCAATGGGTGCACTTAAAGGGAATGTATAGAGAAGATGGAACCAGACTCTTCCAAGGGGTGCAGAGCAACATGGAAAGATGCAGTGGACATAAGCTGTGACACAGGAATTCCAATTCAGTAAAAGGGGAATAAAAGGATTTACCATGGAGATGGTCAAACACTGGACCAGATGTTCAGGGAAGTTATAGAGTCTCCATCCTTGGGGGTGTTCACACCTGTCCAGACACAGCCCTGTGCAGCCTGATGCAGCTCCCAGCTGGCCCTCGTCTGAGCAGGGGTTTGGATCAGGTGATCTTCTGATTTGTCTCCCAACCTGAGTTATGATTCTGTAATGGCTCTTAATGATGGGACACAGACAGGTGTGTCTGGGATCTGTAATAAGATCACAGACAGGTGTGCACTGTACTTACTGTCTATGTGCTACTTCCACATATCATGTGGAGATAGGTTTGAGCAACAGATAAAACAGTCCATGTCAGACAAGTCTGACAGGAGAGATTCCCTCAGACCTGTTTAGTCTTTTAAAGATACATCACAGTTCAGTTCAATTCTTGGAATGCACAAGCATGACCCGTAGCACTCAAACCAAAACTTTTTTTCCATATTCATATCTGAAGACATCTGAAATTTGAAACAATTTAGTCCCTCAGATGTGCAAGTTCTAAAGACATCCTTTACTGGACATTTGCATTTATAAACAGCATTGTGAGTTTAAGGCACAATTTGACCATGATTTACCATGCTCTGCAATAGTCAGAGTCTCACCTGTCATTAATGACCAGCTTCAAACACAGCCATACTTTTAAAGGCCGTAATCCTTGGGACTGCAGTTTCCTCAGTGTCTGTTGTCATCTTCCTTGCTGAACACTGGGTCAGACCAAAAAAAGGATGGAAGTGGATGGAGACAAGACCAAGATGAGATAGTAGAGCAAAACCATTGCCTACCAAAATGCGTAACACTTATATTTTGTTTAAAAAAGGGACAAATGAAATTAAGGGTTGATGGCCTGGCATTTTTTTTTCTCCACAGCACCAAAAGAAATGTCCAAGCAGAGCTGTCTTTGGAAGGAAAAGAGCAACAACAAATTAATGAGAAAACAGACAGGAACCTGAAATACCTCCCCAAACCCTCCTGCCTTTCCCTCTGACTGGTGGCCACTTACCTCTCATTTCCCCACACAGCACACAAAGCAAATATTCTTTCCCTGCAGTGCTTTCTTTCCACCTGGTGAGAGCCACAGTACTAAAATATCTAAGTTTCAGTTAGTATTTCATGCAGTTCGGAAATGCATCAGGAGGTTTTGTGTGAATAATATAAATACCTCCCACTGCAACTGGTCTTTGCTACTGGGAGAGGAACAGGCTGCATCAACATTGCTTTTCTACTAAAGTGCTGCTGTAGTTCCAGTTCATCCTACAAATGTGGCATTGTCTCCTAAAATTACATTACTAATTACAGCTAATACACCCAAGCCCAGATGAATGCAACTTTCATCTGAGTAGCACCCCTACGCAATCCTTCTGGCATGCAAATGGCAATTACACAACAGGGCTCAAATACAGCTTGAAAGCAAAGATGTAAGGCCAATTTTTTTTGTGCCCCGAGACAAAACAAGGTGCTTATTCCAGTGCCAGATTATGATTGACAGAGATTTACTCGCAAAACATTTCCCACTGAGAATGTGTGACAAACTGCAATTATTACTAGTCCAGTTGGTTTAAAAGAAAAAAGGCCATCTTTAGCTGCAGTTTTGGCTGGGCTGCCTGATAGAAATTGACTGCCAACTACAGCAGCAGAGCAGGCTGGAGGGAGTAGGTGTGGGGGTAACAAAAATCAGAACAAGACAGGTTTGGGGGATGGCAAGGAACAACAGGAAGGAAAGAAAAAGAGAAAAGAGAAAAAAAAAGATGATATAGTTGAAAGGGACGAGGAAAAAAGAGAAAATAAGAGAGGTTAAAGGAATATAAGGACACAGAAAGCAAGCATGGAAAAGAGAAAAACAGATGTGAGAAAATGAAGGAAGTTGAGAAAGAAAACATAGTAGACAGGTCAAAAAATAAAATAGAAGGACTAGCCAAAGATAGCTCCCTTGAACGCTTGCCACCGACTATCTCACTAGAGCAAGACCTGGACCACATGCTTTCAGCTTTTGGAAGGAGCCAATTTAGGCTTCTGCTGCTGCAATCAAGCACGTGAAATTCCCATTTCTCATATTAAACAGCTACAGGCATGAGTTCAAGAGCAGAGCTCTCCTCACGACAGCTAGAAGAGAAAGCACTTGCCACGTGGCACCTAGTCCTAGACACTCTGTGTGCAAGCTCTGCCACAAAAATCTGACAGAAAAAAAGACTTTGTTTATGAAAAAAGAAATATGGGATTAGTAATTCAGCAGTACACTGTGACAGCACTAGAGAGCTGAAAAACAAGCATACTCATTTGATTAACAGGTATGTAGCAGTTGTAGTCTGGGGAAAAAAAATATCAAAGGAACAGAACCTTTCCACTGCACAAAACCAGATATAAGCTTTTCTGCATGCTTCAGGTGTAAGAGGAGGTCACAAGCCAAAACAAAAGGTTCCTTCTTATCGTGAGCGAGGAAAGTAAGACATCCCAGACCTTCGGTTGATATATCAGAATAAAGCTGAGATAGATACAAAAAACTGACATTTATTTGCAAAAAAAAAAAAAAAAAGCGCAATGTAATCTGAAACCACTTAGAAATGCTCACTCATTTGGAGAGATGTCGAAAAACTAATTTAGAAGATATAAATGTGGTCTTGCATCTTTTTAAGGACAAAACCAAAAAACCCAACAAACTAAACAAAGAGCAATTGTATCAGAAAGACTGAACAAAATAGACAGATCAATTCTGTTTGCCTTAACATGGAGAGTGATGAAAAGCCAGCACCTTATTTTTTATCTTTGATTTGCTTTCTTTTAATTCAAATCTTATATCTATGATTTATCATCCACATTTAAACACATCTAGATAAAGTCTGTGACTCTCAAACGAAAGATAGCCTTAACCCATGCAAATAGAAGAGTTATTCAAACATTGAATGAAAGGCACATAACACTCATTTGCAGTAAGAAAAATAATGCAGGTAGCACAAAAATCTTAATGACATTCAAGCTGAGCAGAAACCATTTCAGTACCAACTAAATGATGTTTTAAAGCAGAAGTTAAGGGACTAAACTTTGTAGGAGTACAAAATCCTTCTGATGACTCAACCTAAGCTTATCTTCTGAAATCCTGCATAAATATTCAGGGTAATTACTACATAATCACTAAGTCATGCTGGCATGTGGGTCTAATTTGTTTTAAGAGAGATGAAAAATGTGAATTGTCTCTTCAAGCAAGAGATCAGGGTGGGAAACCCTAGGGGAAGGAGTTGAGGCTCTTATTTGTGGGCATTGTTTTCAAGTTAAATCAGTCAAGTCAAGCTCACAGAGCAGGTCTGACTGCGCAAATAACCTGTCTTCTCTCAGTTCTTTGGAGTAGTAAATAGGGTTTCTATCTATTTCAATCCTTACTCAGAACATTCTTTTCTTACAATGGTTTAAATGGTTTCTTAATGGTTTATATCTTAATAACAGAATTCCTGAAATCAAAGGTTTCCTTCCATAAACTTATGTAGAATTTACAAGATCAAAGAAACCGTATACCTTTAAGCCATAATCTTATAAGGCACCCTTTACAACCGTGGGTCCAGGCTCAGCAGGGCTGTGCTTGTATTAACTAGTTTTAAGGCATCCATCACAGACAGAAGCTAAGTGTGTACACTGAACTTTGCCAGATGGGTATATATGATTTATACTCCCTTCCCCTATATGATTTAAACTCCCTTCCCCTTCCCTTGCTGTTCTAAAAAAAACTTGCTAAAAAAGCAGCCTTCAGCTCACTTTTTCCCCTGAATGAAAAGCCACCATAGGAGTTAATGTACTAAACTGGGTCCGTTATATTAAAATCAAGCCATGTCGTGCTGCACATGTTGACACTGCCACACACTGAAATTTTAATAAGAACAGGATGTCTGCGATGATGGCACTAAACTGAAGAGCACTGGGTTCTGCTCTCATGCAAACTGTATAGTGAGCTTGGGCAAGGAACTTAGTAAATCTCCATCTGCAAAATGAGGGTAACAATTGACAATTGATTTGTCCATTCAGGTCTTGAATAAGCAAATCCCCAAAGCCTGTGGTATCCTGTGTGTGGGCAGTCATGAAGACACTAGGTAGTTGGAAGGTCAGAGTTTGACTGAAAACTGTTTTGAGAAGCGTCTCTCTTCTGAAGCAAGGCACCCAGGACAACAGGACTGCATCAACAACAAACACTGCATTCTGTGGTCTTTTCCTGAGCCAAAAGCAAACGTTCCTGCAAAATATGCAATTAACAAGATGCTAAAATTGTTCTGTGGTGAAATGAATGAAAGTGCTCAGAAACATTCATTTTCAGCTCTCAAATTATTTGGGTAGACTTTGCAAGGAACTGCATAAACAGAGTCATTGTGAGTTTCAGACTGGTGTACCACCTTATTCCTACGGCTGTAAATCTCCTGAAACATTTAGATTCCTCTCATTAGCAATGGCAAAGTAGTCAAGATATTGTCATCAGATACAGCTTCACAGCTGCACAGATCTAGTTAAGGCCCAGAAAGTCTAACGGGGGCAGGGGAGAGCTGGTGGGTGCCAGGCTGTGCAGGGGTGCCAGATGTGGGACAGGTGCTCATGGTCGCTCAGTGCCGTACAAACAGCTGCAGGACCATAGGTTACAGGATGAGACACCATTTCACCTGCTGAGTTCTTAACTGAGCAACTAAATTTGGGGTAAAAGGCTAGCTGTATAACAGATTTAGGATGGGATCTGTGAAGTGAGCATAGCACTTGACACCCAAGAGTCAAGCACCTTCCTAACTGAGTAGAATCCACAGAACTTTATGTATTCCTTCCTGAGCCTAAAACAGAGTACCTCAGGATATTAGAAAGATGAGGAGAGATGCTTTACTGATCCCTGGGTAAATTGTAAGTGCTTGAAAAAGCATTCGGTTTGCTTTTATGGATTTCACCTGTATATACGTCCAATTCTGAGGCTTACAGCCACCCAAGCCACAGAGTTCAGTAGGCTGTATTAAGTGTTCATGTCTTCTGTGGGGTAGCTGGCTTCCAGCTCTGTGGCTAACACAGATGCCTGCAGATGCCTTTTACAGTATCTTTTCTAAGGACTCCTATCCAGTTAACGTTTCGCATAAAATACAGGACCAGGGTTAGGAAAGGCAAGCAAGCCCTGTGACTGCCTACTCCCAGTGAAGACCCAGGTCACCAGCCCACACACACTTCTCCTACACTGTTTCTTGAATTATTTGTTGTGTCATGACCTGACTTCACAGATCTCTAACCTCTCAGGTGAGCACTCTAACCATCTTATTTTATAATAATAGGAAAGACTGCAGCAAGCATGTTTTGAAACCATGGGTTTAGGCAGCTCTGGCACCTCAACTGAAAGAAGTGGCTTTTTACCCTATATGAAAGAAACTATTTCTCAAAACCCCAAGTGATGAGATTTATGTTTGCTGCATTTAGCTTTCTGGCCAGAATGCTAGCTACTGTAGCTCATCTGAGGGTCCTGGACATCTTCTTAGATGTTTAGATCAAAGCTTAGATTTGTTCATGGATGTACTTAAACATCCAGAACTCCCTGGAAGTCCTAGCAAGTTCTTAGGGAATGATCCAATGCAAAGTCCTGCTGAGCCACACATAAACTCTTTTTAAAACCCAGCTATTGTTCCAGCACATCATTTATCTTTTGCCACCTTTTTTTGTGTCTATCTGGGGACTCCTGAGAATAATGCTTCTAGAAGAGAAAGAGCAGAAGCTCCAAATTTTCTCCAGGTCCCTAGGAATTTCTCCTGTAATTTAGTTCTTCCTCTAGGGTGAGAAGTCCCCTTCTGCTCATATGTGCATATGATAAACACATGGATAGCTAGGGAAAAGGGCTTAGCTTTCCCTCCTCTTAAATCACTTTTTCAGTGATCTTTTCACAGAATATAATGAAGTTTATTTTTATCTCCCCTTTAAAACTCAAATCCAGTGTGACATCATGCAAGATGCAGCTTTGCTGAAAACATTGGTGGAAAGAGCTCTGTGGAGAAGAAAGCTTTGTACATACTGGTTTGCTTCCATCTGTCCCCCACCCCTTCTAATTTATACCAATTATTCAGCCTGGGAAAATACCAAGATTTTTACTTGGTTGTTGTTACTTCCCACTTGATCCGGGTCCTGTTGGCTATTTCCTGACAACTGCCTTGCAAGGGGCCACCTGGCCCAGCTGTGGCCAATTGACAACTAATAACTACCCAAA